CACCTACAGTGTGGCACGGGGGCCCTGCTCAGTGCCCTGTGGGGACCGAAACGGGAAGGAAATCCAAGAAAGAGGGGACGTACGTGTACATGTGACCGATCCACTTTACTCTGCAGCAGAAACCAACACAACATTGTAAAGCAACTATACTCTAATAAAAAGTAATTTTAAAAATACTTTATGAAATGTGCCAGACATTTAATGTATGTTCAACAAGGGTTAACCTCCCGAGTGAAAATTATTACTAGAACACTAACTCAAAACTCTTATCAATGATAAATCAATAGTAAGATATTCTTGCCTGGAGAATCCCATGAACACACAAGCCTAGCGGGCTAGAGTCCATAGGGTCACAAAGAGTCAGACATGACTGAAGCAGCTTAGCAACAGCAGCAAGATATTCTTATAAAAAAGTATTTGTTTTTATTACACAGACATTAGGAAAAGAAGCAGCTGATCCTATGTTTCCAGGCAAGTTATGTCACCATCATATAAACTAATTGAGAGAGTAGATTAACAAGGTATTATCTTTACTTCAGTATTTTAAAAAGCAGCAGAATTAAGTGTTGACCATATTTTGAAAGACTCCAAAATAGCACAGGATTGATTAAAGGTCTGTCACCACAGATTGGATGTGTTGATTTCATTTCCCCAAAAGTATCCACATAGCAACTTGGCAGTACACAAATATTCTGAAAATTCTAACAGTTTTATTTTTTACAGAAAATAATAATTGCACCCTTCCCTAAAATTTTAGGTCCCATTTTCATTTTAAAGACTCATAATGCTTTTCATAAGCTAACAATTTTGTCCACTCCAATCCTGTCATTGTGAATTTGAAAGAAGGTCATAACAAACAGGTATTTAACCAAAGTAGGGGCTTTACCTATTGATTGAAGGCATATAATACAAAATCAGGAACCCAAGGAAACTACTCTCCTCTCAATTCTACTGTAATAACAGCTCTTTTTTAAAATTTCTCTTATTACAGTTAATTTAAGATCAAGTCCTATGCCTTAAAATCTCTTGTATCCTTTGCAGCACTTGTCAGGATACCTTGTATATAGTGGGTACCCAGCGAAGGTTTACCGCATTGCACTGAGTTGATCATCCATCTTATTCACTAGATTTGGCTGTGAATAACTTAAACTCTTTTTTCCCAAAAAATTAAGTCCACCCACGAAGGAAAAAGGCAGAAGGATGCTGTGGCAAAAATGCTCTCCTGGAAAACAGATCTTGGTTCTGGTCCCAGCTTTATGTGACTTGGGACAAATCACTTGAATTTTCCAGATCAAGTTTCTCCATAAAACAAGGATGCTAGACAAGATGTATGTGCCAGACTGTAAGGCCCACCGTAAGCCATTCAAAGTAACTCACACAGAACTGAAGATGCTTGCAGAGAGACAGTAGAAAAATAGTTTTGAATAACTTAAGAATTATTGGGCTAAGAGCTAGCATTCCAGAATGACTGCTCCAAATAATAAGTATTTACTTATTCTAGTATGTTGTGAGGTTTTTTTTTTTTTTTTTTAGGTTACATTACTTTAGAGTTACATGTTATATAGTCATTAGGATACAATTCAAGAGACCAAATGTCAACAAAGTTCTGAAGTCACTTGGCACATTATCAATCATTATTTAGAGTTTCCTCTTTTATTTTTTTGCCTTAATGCATTTGGCCAGGAACACAGACGTCTGTGTGATATAATGAGAAGGAAAAAAAGGAAGTTTAATCTACTGCTCCTTCAACTTTAGCCACTCAACACTTACCTGATGAGAGACCCTGATGCCCTTAATGAATTCCCAAGGTCACTAAACAACTTGGAAGATCTTAGATTTCTACAAGGTGATTCCAGGGGCTCACACTTTGCCAAGTCATATGCAGGTGGCTACAGTAAGTTTACCCAGGTGGTGCTCGTGGTAAAAAAACAACAACAAAAAAAAAAAACCACCTGCCAATGCAGGAGACATAAGAGATGCCTGAGNAGGATCTCGTTTCGTTTCCTTTTGTTTGCTTTTGAACACTGCACCCTAAGTGCACTTCCTTTCTGCCCTTTTAAGTAAAATGGAATTCTCAGCTCACTAGCGCAGGTCTCACTGTAGACCCAATGAATGGCAAAGATCCGACACAAACACCCACACACTTCCCTCCGACAGGGATCCGTACTCAAGACCAGAAGTTGGCCATGGCTATGCTGAATACACGTCTGTTGAATTTCCGTAGAATTTGGTTTCATTCGATTGTAGGTTCAATGTGTGTTTTATTTTAAAAAGAAAAGTTTCAGTCCTCCTACCTCAAGGTTAGGGTGAGTCAGAGAGGTTTCCAAAGGGAGCGGCTCTGCCACGTGAGTGTTCTGACACCAGAGAGGAGGCTCTCACGCCACCTCAGAGCAGCCGAGTCCCAGCCTGCTCCGGCTCGCTGTGGAGCGGAACCAATTTCTAAATGTCTTCATCTGGTCCCTCCTACTTTCATGGCTGCTCTGGGGGTGGTGAGGATCAGGACGCGCTGAAAGCTGCCGGGACATCTGACTCTTTATTTTCTTGGCTCTACGCGTCTTAACTCTTTGCACCAATCCTCCCGACTGTGCCACGTTTCACTTTTGAGAGCGGAGGCAAAAGGAGACAGGCAGAGGCGGGCAGGAGCCCTCACTGCTGCCCAGCGAGAGGAGAGAAGGGCCGCCGCCCCTGCTTCGCTCCCATGCCAGGGTCCTACCCATCAACGCCACCTGTCCCGCAGGCTCTCACCTGAACTTCCCAGTCACAGACTAAGGGTCGGGGGGTGGGGAGGAAACTGATGCTAAGCATCCTTACACTTTTAGAAAATACTTCCTGACCCTCTTTCTAAGGAATGGGATAGGGAGGGAAGTGGGAGGGGGGTTCAGGATGGGGAACACATGTACACCCATGGCTGATTCATGTCAATGTATGGCAAAAACCACTATAATATTGTAATTAGCCTCCAATTTAAATAAATTTTAAAAAAAGAATGCATTTGGATTTCATGGGTAGATGTGGTGTTTGAAGGACAGGGGTGTGCAGAGAGATAACAGACTCAAATAACTGAAAATTAGTTGCACGATTAGACCTGCTCCTTGCTGCTCCAAAAATAAAGGATCTGATGGAAGACACGGGGCGGGTTGGGCTCCCTATGAGAACTTCATACCATGTTCGTCAATGACAATGGGCTGCCAGGGGCAACGTTCAGCTTCTGAGGGTATTCAAGCAAGTTTGGGGAGCCATCGGGGGTGAGAATCACTGTCAGGAGGGATGTGTGGTGTTGGGGCAGAAGAACATCCCCCTGCTCTGCGCCCCATCTCTGCTCCTAGAGAAGCAGAGGGCAGCCCACGCTTTAGCCCCTCCCACCACCCCATGGACGGACGGAGAACATTCTCATCTGATTGGATGGAAGCCCGCATCTCTGGTGCCTATTTGAATAGAGGGTAGTGTTACTGTATTTTGAGAAAGATCTGGCGTGTCCTGCTTCCCTCTCTCACTTCCTGTATCTATTCAGAGCACATCACTCCCACTTTATCTTTAACTTTTGGCTTCAGAAGGCCTTGCTCCCCTTTTTAACGCACAGGAAGTCAGTCAAGCCTGGCAGTGGATAGACAGCCTAGGCCGGCAGGAAAGGAGACCAGAGTGGAAAGGGGGCTGCCCTTGCTGCTCCACACCCTTCTCCCCAGCACAGGTAGGCACGGTCGGCCGGCCTTTGTCACATTGCACAGGTGACAGCCATAGGGATTGAGACTTCCTTCAGAGGAAGCCAGAGGCCTCATCTAGACTTCCAGTGTTAAACTGTCTTCTCACATCATTTTTTTTTAAGATTTTTTTTTTTAATTTGGGCCTATTTTTAAAATATTGAATTTGTTACAATATTGCTTCTGTTTTATGTTTTGGTTTTCTGGACGCAAGGCATATGGGACCTTAGCTCTCTGACCAGGGATTGAATTTGCATCACCTGCATTGAAAGGTGAAGTCTTAACCACCAAACCAAATTTATCTTTGAAGAAATTCCAACAATATGGGTGTTTCTATTCACCCTGCCATTAATCAAGCTGATTCTTCCTTTCCTACTTGTTTTTTTTTTTTAATTAGAGACTAATTACTTAACAATATTGTAGTGGTTTTTGCCATACATTCACATGAATCAGTGATAGGTTTACATGTGTTCCCCATCCTGAACCTCCCTCTCACCCACTTAGTTTTATTATATTTATATGTATACCCAAAACCTCAAACAAAACCCAATCAAAAGTTGCACACTTACTCAGAGAAGTTTGAACAGAACACAGGTTTTCCATAACATTACTAAAGCATACACAGGATTTTATAAGTGTATAGAAATTATTTTCAGGAAAGACTCCAAGTGTCTTCACTGGAAACTGTGAGAATCTATGGCAGTTTGAGGATCATAATATAATTCATAATGTCTTTTAACCCTAAGACCTTAAAATTCAGAAAAATGTGTGTTTTTTATTTAGCTTAATACTCTCTCAGTTCAATCATCATCTGTTAGGTTCAAAAATACAACTAGAATTTCTACAGATTCACAGATAGAATTGACTGTATCTGTTGGTAAATTCTACCTGTTGAATCAATGAAAATTCTTTGCAACCTCCTGGAGAAAGTGTAAATGCCCAATAATCCCCAAAAATAAATTGTCAGCACACCCACAAGACTGGCTTTAGTAAACAGGAGGCCAGTTGCCATATGTCTCGAATAAACAATAAACAGATAGTCTTTGTACCTTCTGGCAGAAAGTTCTTCCTTCCCTGAAGCAAACTATCCCTATAAGCATCTCTCAAGTGCTTTTCTTGTGGGGGTCTGATCCCAGCACGATCAGGAAGCAACAGAAGTGCTGGCTGAAAAGCCAGTTTTCACTGAGCTCCGCGGGCCAGTGAGAATGAAGATTAATTCAAATAAACTCTGGAGTGCCAGCCAAACCCCTGAAACTCGGTAGCAATACACCCACTGAGTTGGTTGTGCGTTTGCAGTACTACCTTATCCTGGAATGACCCGACTGAAGAGCCAGTGTCAGATGACATATGACATCAAGTGTTCAATGAGAATTCTGCTGGCACGACATCCTGTTTGACAGCTCCTGCTCTTTGGTCTTCTTCAGCACTCAGGGAGGACTGAATCCCTCTCCAACCTCCAGTAAGACCTGCAGGACAGAAAATTAACTCCTTAGGGAAGTAACTGAATGCATTAATAGATTTGGTTATGGACTGGAAAACAGGAAAGCCTTAACTGAAGTATCTTTTTTTCCCCATAGAGAATCTTTTTTGACATTCAATTCACTTGTATATGAGAGTCACTTTAATACAT